TCTCTCTCTCTCTCTCTCTCTCTCTCTCTCTTCTTGGAGAAATTCACTGTAAAACAACTTTTCACATTTCATAAATATTACGCTAATTTTTGTTCTTTTGAGGAGGATAATAACCTCTATTCCTCTACCAGCGTTACCCAAATTTTTCCCAAATGGAGGGTCCGCCACGCTTATCATTCACCACTGATATCCAGACAACCGATTCAACAAACTCAGCCCTATCCACTCAAACTGAAGAAAACTGTGACGTCACACGAACTTCGCGCATCCTGTCTCACAACTTAGGCTACTCTGCACCTTCTTCCTTCCTATCTCTCACACTCGGACTTGACCTAGTTCCAGAGAACGAACACATGCTCACACACAGCAGGCGCCTCCCCTATAATCTGGCACCGTCTAGCACAGTAGTAGTCGAGACTCGCGCCTCACAGGCCTTGGGGGCATTCGTTTAAGCGCGATGAAAAACGTGTTTGGAAATTCCCGCAAATGTAGCCGACTGATCTTTGTCCAAGGATGCTCTGCCGTGTGCACATGTGGTGAATCATTTCGATGATAGTCTGAGGTTGGGGAAGCTGAAGGTATTTCGCTACTTTAGAATTATATAGTTCTATCTGGCCTTTTTGGACGTTTGAGTTACTTAGACCTTGATGTCAGAAGCCAATTTTTGTTCTATGTGCTCTATCAAAAGCGTAAGATTATTCGGAGTCGTTATTAAGATATTCAAAGAATTACATTTGAAAAAGCTTGACATGTTGTAAAACTCGCAGTTTTTTGTTTACGTCAAATTTCTCAAAAGTAGGTACTGAGCAGAGTACTTTGTTTTTCAGGGGTAGCGAATTTTTTCTTCAAAAGAAATGAACTGATTTTACTGTTTAATCGTTTTCACTCACATCATGCCTTCGCGAAAGTGTCCGGAATGAAATAGAAATCGATTCGTGAAAAGGATAAAAACTAGATTCTTCGTTTTAAAAGAACGGGTGAACTACACGGTGGATCTTCATGTACCTGTGAAATCCAGCTCAAGGCGTCCTCCTGAATGTAAGTTATATTTCTAACGCTGGCATGCAATGAAAGGGTGAGAATGCAACTTTAACGTATAACATTAAACATGAGTTTCGTCTCTATATCAGTAGCAGTTCTACTTTCAGTTTGCTAGGAGTAACGCCACTTCTCAGCAATGACTAGAAAGAAAAGTAAGAGGAAAACTTATGCGGGAGACAAAAATTTGTTTATTAAAAGATTACAGAATTTCAAAACAAAAAGACAAAAACCCTGTGGGGTTTTGAAGAACATTTTATAGAACAGTTACTTGGATTTTTGCCTCCAGTTACCCCAATGGAGACATTGGACATCCATTAGTAGTAGTAAAGAGGGGTTTTGGTGTAACAACTTCCAAGTTGAGTATCTACTCGAAACTAGCTGAAAGTATGATAATAATTACCCTGCCACCTCCATTTCTATCTCCTCTCCCCGCCCTTCTCCATGTTTTGTTTTCGTTGTCAGTTCTTTCCTGATCTCTGTTCCCCCCCCCCTCTCTCTCTCTCTCTCTCTCTCTCTCTCTCTCTCTCTCTCTCTCTCTCTCTCTCTCTCTCTCTCTTACCCCTCTTTTCAGTCGGTCAAAGAGACCCTAAGTTTTTATCTCCTCCAACAGTCCGTCCAACATTAGTTTAAAATCTCTTTAGAGCGTTCCTGTAGCTCTTTAGACCGCCTTTTGTCTGTTTGTCTGTCATTTCCCCCGTTTGTCTCGTCACGTTCCTCTCTTTGGACTATCTCTTTTATTTAAATAATAGACACGTTTCCTGAACACCATGTCTGTTTTCTTTCAATACTTCCTGTTGCTGTCTCTGAAGTCGATGTTGTGTTTGGTTACCGGGTCCTCTGGTGTGCTTTTGTTCTGTTTCATACCAGGATCTCGTATTGTCTTTTATCTCTCATCCTTTTTAGTGTTTGTAATACTTCTAATTTTAGGCACTCATTTAAATAATAATAATAATAAGTAGTATTTGTATGGCGCAGGTCCCCTCTCGAAAGCAAGCTCTATGTGCTTCACACTATAGTATTATTACCCCAGCAGACCATAGAACGTCCAGAAATATTCTCAGCTTCCCGGGAAGTATGCAGTGCAAGCAGCTGGTTTAGTGCTCAAACACTACGAAACTGACGAGATCTTACACTGTCTTATAGCTCTGTACCCTTTCCCACCTGGGTGAAGTGACTAAATTTCGTGTAAAGTGCCTTTCCCATGGACACAACGTTCGGCCCGCGGCTCGAATCCCTGAAGCCGCAACCTCACGATTACGAGTCCGGTTGCCAAACCACTGGGTCATCGACGCCATTTGATCTTATTGTGTTGCAAGCTACTTAAAACTTTTGCAAAAACTAAACTAAAATAATATATAATTCTTTTTTTTTTGTGTGTGTAAAAGATAAATCTGGAATGTCATTCGTGCCCCGAAGTGCCCCACACTGCCTCAACACCCCACCTCGCCACGTTCACAACCATTCCCTACCTCAGTCGTACTCCTCTAAGAAGAACCGCCCCATCCTGGGTTACATACTTGACCTCGAAATGCACATGCAGCTGTCTGTCGGCAGCCTGGTAAACCGTTTTAAAGATATTCTAAAAAATGAAAGAAAACTCTTCTTAAAAATGACCTTACATATTGCAACATTGCAACGTAGATGTGGGATACGATTAGCAACTTTTCTCTGCGACTAAGTTTTCATCTTGATGTTGGGAGAATGTGAGATGAACGAATTACGAAGCTAAAACATTTTTTTAATATAGGAAGACTGTAAATAAGACCCATCTACTTTTTATAGACATATTGACACCTTCATAATGTGTAGTTTCAGAGGGGGTTTGGATTAGAAGTGAAAAACGAGATTTTTTACGGGATTTAGCCTTCTTTTTTCAGACCAATCCATTTGATTTAGATGTTTTTGGTCACTAATTAAACAGACAACAACTGAACGTATTTCATTGTAACGTTTTACAAGCTGTTGTATGAACGATTATATTTTGTACCCCCGTCTTCACCAGGCAACCCCGCCTTGATTCCTAGTGCCAAGGAAGGTTCGTCCATAGAGCAAGGTCGTGCAGTGCTGACCAAACTTTTTAAATGTTATATTCTGTAATGCTCTCACAAACAGAAAATAAAAGGAGCCCGTAAAAAGGACTAGCCAAATCGTTTATTAATACAAGGTCATCGCTGGCGCCTTAACATCCCTACAGCTCTTACTGTCCCTACAGCGCTGTAAAACATACTACGCCACGCTAAAGTCCAAGCGCTATAATTAACATGTCGTTTAACGGTGGTAATCTGACATAAATTGCTCGTTGCGAATTCGTTACATTAATATTAAGACGGCACATCTCCATGTGCTTTTGTTGAAACAAAGCCCACAGTAGGCATTCTAATAATAAACGCAATCTCAGACTGTACACTAGTGTGTCGTAATCATTGATTATGCCCATAAATTAATGTGAGCCCTGAAACAATCCAGCGGAGTGCTCAAGTTAATTGTGATTGGTTCATTGTCCTGCCACTTTTATAAAATTTAGGTCTTGCCCCGACACTGTGACCGTGGAGTTGAGCAAGGTGAACGTAGAGTTAGTTTGTTCACCACCTGTTGAGTTGTGCTTTTGAATGGTGTTTTAGTGGAGTGGTGAAAGTGTTATTACTTAATAATAATAATAGATAATAATAGATAGCATTTGTATAGCGCATATCCCCGCTCAACAGCAGGCTCTATGCGCTTTACACTATATTATTACCCAGCAGACCATAGAACACTCCGAAACATTCTCAGCTTCCCGGGAAGCATACAGTGCAAGCATCCGATTAAGCGCTCAAACACTAACAAACTGACAAGATCTTCCGCTGTCTATAGCCGGGTACCCATTCCCACCTGGGTGAAGTGAGGAAAATTCGTGTAAAGTGCCTTTCCCAAGGACACAACGTCGGGTCCCTGACGGGATTCGAACCCACGACCTTACGGTTGCGAGTCCGAGAGCCTAACCACTAGGCCACCGACGCCTCTTGAGTGTTCAGTTCCAATGCAAGATGAACGGAATGGACTTTATAGCTAACAAATATGCGTATTTTTGGGAATCAAAGAGACAAATAAAGGGAATAGGTCCTAACCAAATTAAAATTATACACAGTCCCGTTTACAATGCCCCTGACTATCTTCAATCTGCGATAGCTTAATTGTGCATGCCCACTTTGTAGAAAAACTAAAGTTACACATCTTTATTTATTTCTTAAATTAAGTTTCAATTAGTTCTAGATAAGACGAGAAACTTAAGATTTGAACTTTTAAAAGAAACACAAATGATTTAAATGTGGCAAACTTGTGAGGTGAGCACACATTACACACATCAAACATGAAACTCAGTTGGAAACCACCATGCGATTTCAAACTCTGGATATTTATCTCTAGCATTTATTTCAATTTTGGCTTCAAGAGCGCTTGCCAGGACACCCTGACAGTATAAATAGCTATCTCTCGTTACAAGAAATTAACTCTGATCTTATGAGCCAAAAAATGATTTCATTGATTCTCCTGAACAGCCGTAATCAAATTTTTGTATTTTAAGTTTTGTATTGCAATCGATTTTTATCTCGTTCTCCATGCCAAAAGAAAGAACAGTGAGATTGAATATCAAAAGATCAATTGTATTGTAGAGGGATTTGAGTTACAATTTTTAATGTGTCGTTCAGGGGCGGAAAGGGGAGGGGGAGCGAAACAACACAGAGCGTGTCGTATTTTTATCAAAACTATCGAACGAAAGAAAATACCTGTCATTTCGGTGTGCGTTATTGTCTCTGATTAGGCGCCATTCCTTGGATCCATCATCGCAGACATGGGAGAAGAATCTACCAGCAACGACTTCGCTCATGAGCAAGGACTCACTAAAGAACAAGTTGCAGAGAGATATTGTAAATGGGCACAGAATTCCAAGTACGAACGGGTAAGTAAACCCTTGGTTCTCTGTAAGAAATTAGTTAGCAATTGTGTTTTGGCCAGACTCAATGTAAGGTTGCCCTTCAACTTCACACAATTTCGCAACACGAGGCAGCGATTAATTACGAGTAATTGGTGCCGTTTTCTTATACAATTTGTTTACGTAACTGCAATGTAACTACAGTATAGAAAAACTAAAATTATTGCTGTTCGTTGAAGCATGTGAGTAAAATTGCTTTTTCACTTCAATAATTTAACTTCTCTGATTAAGCGCCATTTACCGTAATGAGGTGATTTACTTTTTTACCGTGCTCAACAAAACAAAGGACTTGTTTTCGGAGGTAGAAAGAGTACTGAAAGGAAAAGACCGGGTTTTCAGGGAAAAGAATAAAACTTTGTGCAATTTACATTACATAACTAAAAAGAGACCTATCAAAAATGCATAACTTATGGAAACACGTTTTTATACCTCAATATTTGTATAATCTATAGCCCATTGTGTTCTTAAACCACTGTCATCAGACCTTTTTTTTACAACTTTGAAGAATTTACAAAGGTGGGGGGGGGGGGGGCTTAGTTTTACTATGGGGGAGCAAAGAATACACCTGTCGTGATACTGCGTGTCGTAAGAGGCGACTTAAAGTGCTAAAGTCTGGTCGCCCGAAAAGTGCCAGTTAGCGGAGGGCCAACTACCCAACCCAGTAAAAAACACTAAGTTACAGAAACAGAGGTTGGAAGAAGGCAGTGGCGATGGATTGGATTGGATAGGATTATCCTTTTATCCTTTAGACATATAATATTGCCAAAGGTGTGGCCACCAACTACTCTGCTATAACATCAAAATGGGTAGTTTGGCATGATAATAATATACACTAGATTCGGGGTGTTTTAGAGGCGGCGCTACAAACCAATCAGAGAGGTTATAAATAGTATTAGAGCTCGCAGCTGTGGCGCCACCCTCCAGACAAAATGAGTGACTAAGTTTGGTAACAAAGAGGACACTTTTACACAGACAAAATGGGTTGCTTTTACAAGTTGGCTATATTCTTCTTCTACTGACACGTGAAGATGGTTGTTTTCGTCAATTTTTGACATTGTGTTCGCGTATCTTTGTGGATGTACCCAGGGGCGAAGGCTGACTTGTTTGACAGGGTAATCAAAGTAAAACGGGACCAGATATGGCCTGGGGATATCACACACGAACCTTTCTCGAGGCGGCGACTCAGAGTTATGAATGAAAACAAATCCGGAATTCATTATTGTATGTTCAACCGCCAAAATAATCGGGAATGTATCTCATTAAATATCAATTCCAATTAAAATTAAATTTAACTTTAGATGTGAATACACAAACACAAAGCAAAGAAGCAGAGATGTCAGTACTAGATCTAATTGTTATAGATCTACCAGGGAGTCTCTAACTCTTTGGTAGAACATGACAATTATCATTTTTTAAATTTCACATTTGGCTGTTTTTTGTCTAGCCTTTCGCGGCCACGAGCCTGTGTCATAATCGAGGTCACGATCTGATTATAGGGCAGTAAAAAGGCGAGAAAAAAAAACCAAGCACTCGAAGCAGTCGAGAGATTATTAGGAGTTAGTTCCCCTCACATATGTGAGGTAGACTCGACCAGTGTAATAGTTAGCTTACCTAATCAGTGCTTGAGACTGATTATAACTGTAGCCCGAAAAGGGTGAACAGGGTATATGTGGCAATGAAACAGTTTTGACTGCCATGCACATGTTCCCTTCAATTCTGTTGGTAGACTCTCCCAGTCTCACTTTAAGCTTACTTAATCAAAGCTTGTGACTGCTTATGGAGTGGCCCAAGAGGGATGACAAGCTATTTCTGTGGCAATGAAACCGTTTAGAATGTTAGGCATACTGTTCATTGTTGATTATGAACGTCTTTTTACATTTAATTTATGAAGTTTACGTTTATGGGTGAATTTGACTGCGGCAATGTTTCAAAATTAGGAAGGGAAGCAGTGATTATTTGATTATATAGACGCTTCGCCTGTGGATGTACCTGTTCCTGATCGGTCGTTCTTGATGGTGTAACATCTGGCAGAAGACCTTAATATATGATTTCACTTATTTGGTTGACGTGGCTGTCTTCTATGGGAATAGTCTGTGAGTTCACATTATTATGGTATCAAATTTCGGTGAACGCATGGCCACAGACACGTGATCTCAAGACATGTCTTGTGATCTGGTCTGTGAGGTCAGGCTTCATGGATCGAACCGGTCCCTTTGGGCCTGTGAGATGTTGTAGTCCTGAAGGTTCTGTCACACTCCTTCACTTGGCACTCATATGACCTTATGCAGTTGCGAGCGCCGTAAAACCCTCTACTAAAAAAACCAACAAAAAACACTCCTTCACTATCATAATATACATACTATCGTTAGAGAAGGTATAAACTGTGCGAGGTTGTGGTGTTTATCAGCTTGGCAACTTAGTGTCAAGCAAGTCTTATCTTCTTGTAAATCCTCTTGGCGACACATCAAGCAATAAAATCACTGGTGCAGTGTCATGCGTGCTGATGGCGTTCAGTTAGTGATGTCAAGGCTCTTATGAAGGGTGTTAGACTTCGTTCATTATTCAAAATGAAGTTCACTATTTAAAATAAGAAATTTGTAGACTAGGATATTGTAAATTATTCATTGTACTGATCCTGTGTGTGTGTATGTGTGTATGTGTGTGTGTGTGTCTGTCTGTGTGTGTGTATGTGTGTGTGTGTGTGTGTGTGTATGTGTGTGTGTCCAACGGGCGGTGTTTAATTATTATCTATAGGGCACATATGAAGAATCTTTGGTACTGGGTCAATATTTTTTATTTAAAGAGAATTTGGAGTGCCATGCAAAGTTACGGGTGCATTGACAAGTTAATAAATGAGATATAATTTTTTCCCTCGGGGACAAGCGACAGTGAAAAAGCTCTGAAAATGTTTATTTGTACAGACAACATGTACTTACACATCATTGCTGTTTTGACAAAGATACGTAAGTGACCATATTTTAGGAATAGTTATTTATACCATGTGTATCATAACTATTTCTACTTTATTCTCTCTCTCTCTCTCTCTCTCTCTCTCTCTCTCTC